CTCCTCCTCCTCCTCCTCCTCCTCTTCCTCCTCCTCCTCCTCCTCCTCCTCCTCCTCCTCCTCCTCCTCCTCTTCCTTCCCAATCAGCACCACCATCATGCCCTCATCGCCGATCTTTTGCTCTCTTCGCTTCTCTTCCTGCTGCTCCTCACCCAAACTGGGATCCGCAGTGCTTCAGCACCCGGGGGCCCCCAGAGGTCTGCCTAGGCTCTCGGAGGTCCCCACTGGTCTCCCAGAGGCTCCCAGATGCCCAACTCGGGGACCTCTGAGACCCAGCGGCTCTCGAGGATGCATCTGGCGCCACGGCCGCTTCTTGGAACGTTCTGGAACGAGCTGGGAGCGCGCCGGAACGCTCTGGAACCGTGTGGCGGGTTCCAGAAACCCTGACCCCCAAAATGTCGTCATCTCTTCGGGAAAACGACTGTTGCTTCCGCCGGCTGCCGACGAGCTGCCGCCGGCTTCCGCCGGCGGAGCCGCCGCCGTTTTACGTCCGCCGCCCTCCGCCGACCTTCCGCCTCCCGCCGCGGAAGAACTGGTAACTCCTGCGATCCCCGAAGGCGAGGCCCTGCTAGGAAGACTTCACGTAATAGCCTGGCCCTGGGCCCGCCCGACCCCGCCCCCGGTGCGCCGTGTTGAACGGCGTCCAGATGCAGGCGCTCCAGCGGCGTCGGCTCTCCCTCTCTCTCTCTCACTCTCTCGTTCCTGGTGGCGGACGGCCCCGTTCCCCTCCTGCGCTGCCTCTCCCTTCGCGCGCACCCCGTGCTCTGCCCGTCCCCCTCCGTTCCTCCTCGCCCTCCCCCCGCCTGCCCTTCTGCCCAGACGCCCTCACGCAGCGAAAAACATTTTTGTTCGCTATTGTCGGCCTCTGGGGACCCTTACCGGGCCTCGCGACCGACAAAGAACGACTCAGGAAGAAAAAAACGATCCCCGGGGAACGGGTCCAGACCGCTGGGGGTCGCGTCAGGAAAAAATCATGACGTCGGGGGTCTGGCCCTCCTGCCGCGGCTTGGACGCGCCGGCCACCGCCACTGTCGCTGCCGCCGTCACCCGAGTCGGTGGCCCTGACGTGGGGGCGGCGGCGGCAGTGCCGAAACGCGCCCTGGAGTCCAGCAAGGCATGGGGGTGCAAACCCGACTTGTCTGACTGATGTTCTGGGTGGGCCTGTGCCCAGGGGATGTTGCAGCACCGCTCAACGATGCAGGGTCAACCAAACCTGCAGGGTGGGCCCTTTCAGTTTTCTGTGCACTTCACCTTCTTTGGCTTCGGCCTCAGCTGCGGATGCACCGCGACACGCCTCCGGCCCAGCTCACCCGAGTCGGTTTTCCGCTCGCATGGAGGTGCCCCCCGACCCTTCCGCTCCCCCCCTCCCCCCGCCCGTGCCCTCCCCTGAAATCCGACGTGGCCAAAAAATCTGTAGCATCGCAAAGAATCACGACTCGAGCCCTGGACCCCATCTTTCGTCATTTTTCGAGCCAGATCGATCTGCGAGGGCCCCGAAACCCAACATTGAGCGAAAACGCCCGCTGTGGAAACAATTGCACGCCCAAGATCTCAGGGTCCTGCCCCGTCCCGGACGCGCCCGACCTGGACACGCCGGACCCCATCCCCCTTATGTTAGGTCGGGCATGTCCTCCTACAGGCGGATGATGGACGCAAAATAAAAAAATAGCCCAAATACGTGAAAATGTCCAACTGTCACAACATGTCAAAACAAAAATCGATACCCTACTATGTTGTGGACTATGTTTAAACATTCTTCCTGTACGGCAGGTTCGTGTCGTGCCGACCCCAGCGTTGGTTTTTGACACCGCAGGGATCGTTCAACCTTGAACGATCGGCCGCTGCCGCAACGTCCGATCGTTCAACATCGATCGATTCTGGGTCGCCGGCGGCGTTCAACCTTGAACGCCCGCGCTGGGGTCGCCGCTGGTCGACACGACGCAAACCTACCGTAGAAGGATATGCCTGACTTAGCCCTTGTGCGAGGCAGACAGCCGGAGCCCCCCTCTCGCACGGCCTTCTTCTTCTTCACCGTCGGCGCCTCCGTGGACCCGATGTCCTGGGGCAGGAAGGCGGCGGCGAGCGCGCCTGGGGCTGAAAGGCCGATCGCTCCTCCCCTCCTTCGTCGTCGCCCTCATGATTGCTCCTCCTTGTCATGGTACTCCCCCTCCTCCTCCTCCTCCTCCTCCTCCTGCTCCTCCTCCTCCTCCTGACTTCCTCCTCCTCCTCCTCCTCCTGCTCCTCCTCCTCCTCCTCCTCCTCTTCCTCCTCCTCCCTCTCGTCGTCCTCCTCCTCTTCTTCGTTCTCTTAGTATGCTTATCATGCTTATTATTATTGTTCCTCCTCATTTTCTTCTTGTTCTTATTCTTATTATTATTATTATTAGTAATATGATTAATAGTAGTATTATTACTATGATTATTGTTATGGTTGTTACTATTATTATTAGTGTTAGTATCATTAGTATTAGTAGTAGTATGATTGTTCGTCTTCTTCTCGTCTTCTTCTTCTTCTTCCTCCTCCTCCTCCTTCTCCTCCTCCTGCTCCTACTCCTGCTCCTCCTCATCACCATATTGCTCCACCTCCGTCGCACGCTCCTCCTCCTCATCCTGCTCCTGCACCTGCTCCTGCTCCTCCTCATCATCATCTTGTTCCGCCTCCGTCGCACGCCCCTCCTCCTCCTCCTCCTCCTCCTCCTGCTCCTGCTCCTGCTCCTGCTCCTCATCATATTGCTCCACCTCCGTCGCACGCTCCTCCTCCTCCTCCTCCTCCTGCTCCTGCACCTGCTCCTGCTCCTCCTCATCATATTGTTCCACCTCCGTCGCACGCTCCTCCTCCTCCTCCCTCTCCTCCTCCTCCACCTCCTCCCCCTACCCCTACTCAAAGTCATACTCCTCGTCATCACCATCTTCATCATCACCATCCGAACAGAAACTTCTTCATTGTTCCGAATGTTTTTCCACACGCCCTCTCCTCCTTCTCCTCCTCCTCTTCCTGCTCCTGCGCCTGCTCCTCCTCCTCAGCATATTGTTCCACATCCGTCGCATGCTCCTCCTCCTTCTCCGCCTCCTCATGGTGTTTCTTCTCCGTTTGTTCCAAGGGTCCATCTGTGATGTAGGGGTCTATCCATGGCTACCACCTGGGGGACCGACGTCCTAGGACCCCAAAGAGAATCCATCATGATCAAACCCCGATGACGAAAACTGCCAGCGTGTCAACCGATGGCAAGGGGGGTCCGCCAGGCCAGAACGCGCCGAAGAGAAGAGACACGGAGTGTGAGACTGCCAGCAGGCCGAGAGGGCCGCGTGGTTGCCAAAGACCGTCTGGGAGAAGGGAGGATCGGCGGCGAGCGAGGGGGGAGGTGAGAAGGAAGGCCTTCTGTAGACGAGCTCGCTCCACTACTCGCAAAGTAATTACTCGCGAATGGCCTGGATCCGCCGCGTGGGATCTACGATACATTTCGTCGAAACAAGCGACGTTTGCGAGTAGGCACTTTGCAAGTAGTGGAACGCGCTCGGTGAGGCGGCGGGACTTCTCAGAAGGCCTCCGGCCTTCTGATAGGTTGTTTGTGTCTTCGGGGAAAGCTTGGACAACTGCTCAGAAGGCCAGGAGACTTCCGAGCCTTCCGACAAGGCCTTCTCCTTCGCACTTCCCCCCCTTGCTCGCCGCCGAGAGGGGGCCAACCAGGACGCCAACCGCAGGCTGGGCACTGCAGCCAGGCTGGCAGGTATGGACACATTGGGGGCCCAAGGGGGCCTAGATGTGTCCACGTCGCCCCCCTCGAGAGGCTCAGGAAGCCTCATGAAGTGGCCCCAACCATCACGTCGAAGTCATGGCGACCTGCGACTGCCGAGCACGTCGCCATCATGCCGTCGCCGGCCACGATGCACCACGCGAAGGACAGCGAGGCAAGGTCGCAAACATCCAGCACGGTGTGCCGTAGTTGGGAGGGGTCGTGTGATTCTTGGTCGACAGGGCGCTGGGCAACGGGAAGATCCCCGACTCGCGGCGCATCCTGCCAGGTCCTTCGAGCCGCGCCCATCCTTGCGACCACGAGAGGCCGGCCGGAGGCCACAGAAAAACCTCGAAGCACCTGGATCCTCGAGGTCAGTCGGGCCTGTCCCTCTACAGGAGGAATATTCAAACCTAGTCAAAAATAATATGGGGACGACTTTATGCAGTTTCTGACTGTTGTTGAGCATGGTTTGCAATGTCCTTACTTGTCCGCCCAAGCCTGCCTGTAGAAGGACATGCCCGACCCAATCCTCGAGCCCCGGCTCTCGGAGATCGCTGCAAAGACTACACAGCGTGGCCCCCGAACAGCGGTTCTTTGCACTGTGAATGTGTGAGCCACCTCGTGCAAGCTGCGTGGTTAGGGGGAAAACAGACCTACCTCGCTTTTGACCACCCTCGCTTCCAAGAGATACCAAACGATGCCAAAGTGCAGCCTGTACTGGTCAGGCCGCTTGACGAGGAGGCGCGTGGTATGGCTCGGTTTTGCCTGGAAGCGAAAGCGGGGTAGGTAATTCACGCTCTGAGTGGTGGAAGCTGCGAGGTGGCATGCGGGCGGCAACGTGGTGCGCAACGTGGCGAGCCCTCGGCATGCCCCCACGGGCGGCAGCGGTCGGCCACGGGCGGCAGCGCAGCGAATCCTCGCCATGCCGATCAAGTTCCTTGGTGGCACAAGTTAGAATTAGGTCGGGCCTGTCCCCCTACAGGGGGATTTCGGGCGACAAATTAAAGATAAATACCAGAATAATACAATGAAATAAACAAAAAACGGTCAAAAAACTGTCCCCATCCTATGTTTGGACTATTTTTGGAGATTCCTCCTCGGTAGAGGGGCAGGCCCGACTTCAAGTTAGAACGCCTCAGTGCATGCACTGTTTGGGGAAAACTCGCCGCTGTCAGAATCCTTCAACCAGGCAGTGCCAAGGGGGGTCACCACTGAGGGGGTTACCAGCTCTTCATCTGTTGGCCCCGCGACGTGAGACTGAAGACCGCCGGGCACAAGACCAGGAGGTCGCACGAAACGAGCGATGCCAACAGCGAGCGCGCCGAGGAAGGCATGGCGGGAGAGCGGGGGAGGGCGGGAAGACAGCGGACGGCACGCAACGTGCAGCGGGAGCAGCAGGAGGAGCAGGCAGGGATGCTCCGGGGGGGGGGGGGGGGGAGCGACGCGGAGCGGAGGCTTAAGGGGCCTGGCCACGCCGCCGGCCTCAGGGCCGACTCTGGGGCGCAGGGCCAGGTGCACCACACGGGTCGGGTGTCGGGTCCCTGGCCCACGGGGCTTCGCAGAAGCGCCACCGGAGATCGCATGGTGTGTAATTTTCTGGAGGGTTCTGCGGGCGACAGGTGCTGAGAGGAAATATATATATATATACACACATGTATGTATGAAAAGAAACATACATGTACGTATGTGCATATATTACATATATATATATAAGTATAGGTGTACACAGATATGTTCTTTTACACACATACACTGCGTTTGGGCCTCACTTTGCCACTGAGTGGTGGACAAGCGTAACACAATGCAGTGGACATGTTCCTCGCCCCGAGCTGGCCCCGGGCCCAGAAGTGGGCCTGGCCAGGGACGGCGCGGGGATGGCCCTGGGCCCAGGATGGGGCCTGGCCGAGGCAGGCGCGGGCTGAGGGGGCCTCAAAAAACACCAACATCGATTCTCCACGGACCTCTCCTTGGGCAGGAGAGCCTAGAATCGAATCGACAAGTCGAATCGGCGATCGAAACGAATCGGATCGGCCGAAATCGGCGGCCAAGTGAGGAGTCAAATCGGCGGAAATGGGCAGAGTAGTAATGCCTCATTGAGACATCGGAATCCACATCGGAATCCAAAGTCGAAGCGAATCGGAATCGGAGTCCACCGAAATCGAATCGAGTCGAATCGCAGGAATCGAGACGAGCCCTGCTGGGGTGCGCTCTGACCCGGGCGTCACGGCGAATCGGGCCGTGGCGACGAGGGAAGGCTCGGCACCTCTTCCTCCTCGGATGGTCGGTGCCCTCCTGGCCTCGGTCTCTCCGACCCTCGATACCACCCACGGTGCGGGAGCTCCGAAGGAGCGCGCCCCGCTTGAATGACCGCGGGGGGTGCGAAGGGGACAGGGAGGTGAGAGTGGATGCTATGCCTCCAGGGCCCGTTACATCGGGCCCCGAGACTGGCACAGATGGATTCGGCTTGAAGCACTCGACCCTTTGGGAGGGGGTCGGGACCGCCGGGGCCGCGGACTGAAACAATCATACGGTGAAGGTGTTGAATGGGGAGCTCGAATCTCGAAGCAGGTGGAGCTTCATATGAGGTAGCTCCTATATGGCCAGACGTAGCTCATGAGTGGGTAGGAAGTGCCCTGACTGGCTCAAGATCTGGACCAAGTGGGCTGCGCTCACTCAGCGGAGTCAGCAAACCCGCCCAAGCCGCTCAAGGCACTTGCAACCCACCAGTGCACTGGTTGATGCCAGACATGCAGTCGGACTGCAGAGACAAGTGAGGAACGATCAACAAGGGGCGAAGCCCTGTTTTCGAGGCCGAGCCGTCAAATCCGAAGGAACGGCCGCAAGGTCCCGAGGAAAACCAGAGGGGCTCGCCACCCAAAACGCAACGGAACGCGTGGGAACCTAAGGCACCGAGCCCCTTTCTGACCTCGAACTGGCCCTTCTTCCGACGGGCCGACTGCAACCCACCTCAGCACCCGCTTGTACCCCCCCCCGTCTCCCCAGCACCCGCCGTCGGGGCCCCCTAAACCCGGACACGCCGGACTGGGGCATCCAGCATACCTCGAGACCAGATTATCCCGAGGGCGGCACGAACAAAAACCTGCACTGCACAAGAGGGCGGCGCGGACAAACAACTGCACTGCAACATTCCCGGAACAAGCCCGGACGAAGGCCATGAAAGCCTGCAAGACCTGCCCGAGACCCAGACCAAGACACGAATCCTACAGTGCAGCAACAAAGGAATGCACTGGACGACCAGGTGCACCAGCGAAACATGCGCTGGACGACCAAGATCTGACCTTGCAGGAAGGCGTGTCGTTTTCCCGACATGCCCATGTCTGGGTTGCAGTCGGGCTTGATTGGACGGACCCTTTCCGAGGGTCACACCGCCACAGGAATGCAGGAGGCATGGGTTGCAAGACACATGCAAGACACAGAACGCAAGGGTACCCTTGATTTGGCAGGGCCGTTCCATTGATCACGGCCGACTGTAGTCTTTGTCCTGGTCTTGATGGGGCTGACGCCGCACTGCTCCCGCAGCGCCAAAGGCGAAGCCCGGGATCTACTGCCCCGGGTCAATCCGGACCTGGGGTCAGTCAGGCTTTGCATGATCCTGCAGGATCCTGCGGCTTCCTGCGCCAAAGCCCGGGTCAGTGCAGCCCTGGCCCTGCAGGATCCTGCAAGGTCGGGCGCTCTGACTGACCCCGGTTTGCATTGACCCCCGTCTCGTGAGACCCGACAAATCAGGGCCGACTGTACTGTATGGAGGAGAAGAAAATGGGGACCATGACCAAGACTGAAAGCGAAAACTTCGTGCCGATCTTGGTCCCCGTCGATTTTGGTTAGCGTCAATTCGTAGGTCATCCTCGCGATTCGGCGATGGCCGACATGGACCATGACCACCCAAGCTCGGCATCGACAAACGCCGGCGACATCGTGGTCATGGTCCTCGTGTGTCTTCCCTCGACTGTAGTCGTTGTCCTGGTATCGGGGGGCTGTCACCGCAACGCTCCCGCAGCGCCAGAAGGGAAGGCCGCCCGCGCATTGAGCAGTCACCGACCGTCCAGGCAACCCTGTAGGCCTGCCGCGACACTTTCTGAGAATCCAGAGAAGTTCTAAGGACAACAACAATGTTCTCACAACGGAAGCCCGATGTGTCAAAGCAGGTCAGTCTCGGCCAGAAGGGTTCGGAGAACAGTTCGTGCGGACCACAGAAGGTGCTCAGAACGTTCCTTGGTGGGCCTATGCAGGCGAGCCGCCCAGACCCCCGACGTCGTGACTTCTTCGCGACGCGACCCCCGAGGTCCGGACCCATTGTCATGGACCGGTCTTTCCTTCAGCGCTGTTTTTTTGTGCGAGGCGGGGGTTTACCAATATCGGATCCACCGCCTGGGAGCCGACGTCCTGGTGCCCCAGCGGGCGGTGGACATGGATATATTTCGGCCCCTCTGGGGCCCGAATATGTCCATACCTACCCCCTGCCGAGGCTCCGAAAACTGACCCTCCAGGCGGTGGATTATGGCTAAGTTCCCGCCTCGGCTTTTGACAGCCCCGAGGCCCAGCGAGGGCCCCCAGAGGCCGAACATCGCATAGAACCTGCCGCCGTGGCTGTTGTTCATGGCTCGAGGGGCTCTGGCCAGGCCGCTGCGCCACTGCTCAACGCCCGCGCAGTGCCCGGCCGCCAGGGCCAAGGCCGAGGCCCGCCGCGGCGCCGGCGGCCAGCGCCACCACCAGAAGTACGGTCAGCCCGTCTGGTGAGGACGCGCGAGAAGGATGCAAGGGCCCTGCCCGCCGACTTCGAAGCGTTCCGAGCGCGGGGCGGCCAACGAAAGTGGCCGAGGATGGAACGAGGAGGCAAGGATGCAAGGGTAACTTACCCTTGGGAAGGCTGCCCATCCCTACTGTGCGGGTCGACTGTAGGAGGGGGCGGAGATCCTCCTCCTTCTCTTCTTCTTCTTCCTCCTCCTCATCCTCCACCTCCTTTGAGTATCGTTTAACCGATCCCCATCCCAGCGGCGTGGCCTGGGCCCCACTGGCCGATTTACCCCCCTCGGCGGTGGACAAGCCTCCCTTTAGTAAACCTCCCTTTAGTGAAAACGGCCTGGGACCGAAACCGACGGACCTGGGCCCGCAAAAATGACTTCCGCGACGCCCTCTCTCGAACCGAAAACGGCCAATTCGCTAATCGACGTGTCAGGGTAGGAAGTCTGTCCACCCCCGACCCCCTGGATGGGGATATAGGCCGTTCCCTCCGGGTTTCGAGGGGTGTATCCCCAACTGGGGTGATGATTTGGTGGGGATCTCGAGGGGGATGGGGATGGGGATGGGGATTGGTTAAACGATACCGATCCTTCCCCCCTCCAACGTATGGTGGTGGTGGTGGGAAGCAGGCCCACATCAGTCAGGGGGACGTAAGACCTGGGTACAGGGGACTCGGAAATCCCCGACGAGGTCGTCAAAAAAATGACGAGGCCGAGCCTGCATTTTGACGAGGCCTCCCGCTGCAGACATCCCACGAAACCCCTCCTCGTCAAAATCCGAGGCGCGGCCGTCAAAAAACGACGGCGAACCCGAATCCTGGCAGACCCGGGTCTTACGCTCCCCCGAATCAGGAAGGGAGGGCCGCCCACGCAGTGCCCGGCCTCGGGGGCCCAGGCCGAGGCCCGCCGCGGCGCCGGCGGCCAGCACCTCCCGCCGCCGGCCTGGCGCGGCGGCGCAGCGCGCGCACGGCCCACCGGCAGCGAAGGGCGGCCACGGCGGCGGCGGCGACGACGACGGCGGCAGCGGCAGCGGCGGTGGCGCGGCGGCGGTCGACGTGGTGTGGGAGGAGGAAGAGGAGGAGGAGGGAGGAGGAGGAAGAGGAGGAGGAGGAGGTGAGGAGGAGGAGGAGGAGGAGGTGAGGAGGAGGAGGAGGAGGGGAGGAGGAGAGGATTTGGGTTCGCTTGCTCGGCTTCGGGCCGCTGTGCGGCCGGCGGATTTCGGCGTGGGGCTGCCATGCCGTCTGCTCTTCTCCTCCCTCGGTGGGCTGCTGGGGTGGCTGGTTGCAATCCGTGCGCGGCCCGCCCCTCCGTGCAGTCTGGGGCTGCTCGCGGCCGGCGCCGGCGACGACAGCGGCGGCGGCGGCACCTCACGCGGCCGACCTGGCTGGCGGCCACGACCACGGCGGCGACGAGGGCGACTGCGGCGGGGGAGGTGGCAGTGGCGGCAGCGGCGGGGGACGGAGAGAACACGAGCAAGAAGGGAGTCTGACGTTCATGCCTCTGTTTGGGCCTTCCGCGGCTCCCCCGTCGCCACGGCAAGGGCTCGCTTCGAGGTCCTGGCCAGAACGCGCCCGCGGACAGGTCTGGGGATCGATTTCGAGGGGGCAGCAAGGGCGACGACTACGGCGACGGCGGCAGCCGTGGCGAGCGACAACGACTGGGAAATTCCACTGCGTATACAATGCTTTTGTGCGTGTGCCTTCGATGAGTACAACTACGCTGGCAACAACTGCTCCCGCATGATCAGGGCATGTTCATCGCAGCTGCTGCGCTGGCAATGAAACTGGTTCGTGCGCAGGCGTGCGCCGTGGATCTTAACTGTTCTCGAAGTGGCACCAAAACGTGGGATTGGAACCCCACCAGCTCTCTGGCCTCTCGGCGGGGCCTTCCGCCGACGGCTGCACTGGGGGACCCGCCCACGCCTTGCTGCCGCCGGCATCCACCAGCCCTCCGCCGAGGAGGAAAGGCCAACTCCCCGATGCCCCTCGATGGCGAGGCCCTCCCTGGAGCGCCTTATGATGTTTGGACGGCTGGCGGCGGCGGCGGCCGCGCCCGGACCGCCGCCGACGACGGCCGACGCGACGGCGACGCAGCCCGCAGATCCCCCAAACAGCTTCGGAGGACGGCTGAGAATTGACGCCGACGACGGCGACGGCAACGGCGGCGACGACGACGAAGACGACGACGACGACGACGACGACGACGGCGATGACGCCATGACGACGATGACGACGACAACGACGACGACGACGACGACGACGGCAGCGGTGGTGGCGTTGAGTGGCGATGACGACGACGAAGACGACGACGACGACGGCGACGGCGGCGATGGCATGGTCGACGACGGCGACGACGACGGCGACGGCGGCGGCAACGGCAGCGGCTGCGAGGCGGAGATCTGGCGAGGCAAAGGCGGCCCGCTCCAGTGTGGCAATTTCGGGGCAAACGAATGGCCAGTTGGCTGGCGTGCCAGAGTGGGCCAAGGGACGAGGGCGGCCGCGCGGAAGGAGGGGCTTCGGAAGAGCACTCAGACGTGGTAAAGTTCCGCGTCGAGGGGGCCGGGGGCGGCCGGCCGTGGCGGCGGGCCGTGGCAGCGGTGACTGTTCCGGACCGCAAACCCCGGGGCGACGCCCGAAGCGTACCCCCACCAGCCATCGCTTCTTCTGAGTCGGTGGGAGGCGGGCAGCAGGGCTCGGACTTCGCCGCGTGTCCGACGAATTCCGAACCCCACCCCCACCGCCCATCGGGTTGCCTGTGCCGTGATTCGGCGAGGGTAGGGCGACGAGGCCAAATCCGCTCAAAATCGGCCGCCAGACCCCATCCCACTGTCCATCCGGTGCAGTTCATCACCCCGCACCCATTTCTGACGGTCCTGGGGTCCGAGAGCGACCCCTGGAGGCCGAAAATCATTAAAAAACATGTTCACCGATTTGTTTTTGTCGCCCTCCTCCTCCTCGGGGGCAGGCGAAGTCCTGGAAGTCCTGGCGACGCGCGCAGGAGGACAGAGGGAGGGGGGAAGGCTTCGTAGAAGGAGCCTGCGTCGTACAGGGAGCCGGCCATACATCTATAGGCAGGTCCCGCGCCTTCTAGGAAGCAGGAGTGCCTCAAAAAGCCCTCCCCCTCCCCCGACCCCCTTTTGCGCGAGGCCGAGAAAGAACGGCACGCACGTGAAGTGTCGATGGTCCGCACCGATTTCTTGGATCGGCACTGGACCCCCTGGCGGCGCCTCCAGCCTGCCTCCGGCGCGCTCCCCCTCCGAACTCGGCGACAAGCCGCCAATGTTGCGAATCCGCGCCTTCCTAGGCGGGGTGGCGCTACGCCGGGACCCCCTCGGCGATCACTGGGCGATTGGGTGCCGATGCGTCCCCCCCTGTGCCTATTCCCCCCCTATCGTTGCCCCCGACTCCCCCCGCCCCACCCACCCCCTCCGCCCCGGCCCCCCCTGTGCCTATCCCCCCCCCCCTCGTTGCCCCAGACTCCCCCCATCCCCCCACGCACCCCCTTCGCGTGGCTGGCTCCCGCCGCCGAATGCACCCCCAACGCGGGGCGGCGGCGTCCAGGGGCGGCCTCCGCCGCCCGCGGCCCACGCGGAGGGGCCGCCGCCAGCCAGCAGGGCGCAGGCAGCGCCAGCCGCGGCTGTCGCGGGGGGGCGCGCAAGACGGGGGGGGGGAGGAGGAGGAGGAGGAGGAGGAGGAGGAGGAGGAGGAGGAGGAGGAGGAGGAGGAGGAGGAGGAGGAGGAGAAGGAGGGGAGGCAGGGAGGAATTTTTTTGGGGAGGAGGAGAGGAGGGAGGAGGAGGAGAAGAAGGAGGAGGAGGAGGGAGGAGGAGGAGAAGGAGGAGGAGAAGGAGGAAGGAGAAGGGAGGAGGAGGAGGAGGAGGAGGAAGTTGAGGAGGACAAGGAGGTGGGAGGAGAAGAGGAGGTTGGGAAGGAGGAGGAGGAGGAGGAGAGGAGGGGAGGAGAACGAGGAGTAGCAGGAGGAGGAGGAGGAAAAGGAGGAGGAGAGGAGGAGGAGGAGTGAGGAGGAGGAGGAGGAGAGGAGGGAGGGAGGACGGAGCGGGGGTGAGGAGAGGAGCGGAAGAAGGAGGAGAAGGAGAAGGAAGAGAGGGGGAAGGGAGGAGGAGGAGGAGGAGGGGGAGGAGGGGGATGATGAGGAGGAGGAGGAGGAGGAGAAGGAGGAGCGGGAGGAGGAAGAGAAGAAGGAAGGAAGAAAAAGGAGGAGGGGGATGAGGAGGGGTGGAGGAGGAAAAGGAGAGGGAAGACAGAGACAGGAGAGGGAGGAGGAAGGAGAGGAGGAGGAGGATCAGGATGAAAAGGAAGAGGTGGGAGGAGAAGGAAGGAGAGGGGGAGTAGAAGGAGAGGAGGAGGAGGAGGAGGCGAGGAGGGGCGAGGAGGAGAAAGGAGGAGGAGGAGGAGGATGGAGAAGGAAGAGGAGGAGTGAGGAGAAGGAGGAGGAGGAGGAGGAGGGAGGAGGGAGGATGTGGAGGAAGAGGAGGAGGAGGAGGAGGAGGAGGAGGAGAAACGGACGAAAAGAAAACGGAAAAAGGAAGAAGGGAGCGAAAAGAGAGAAGGAGAAGGAGGGAAGGGAGAAAAGGAGGAGTTACAGAAGGAGGGGGGAGGTGTGGAGGAGGAGGAGGAGGAGGAGGAGGAGAAGGATGTGGAGAAGAAGAAGGAGGAGGATGAGGAGGAGGACGAGAAGAGGAGGAAGAGGAGGACAAGGAGGAGGAGGAGGAGGAGAAAAAGACTGGGGAGGAGCAGAAGGAAGACCAGGAGGAGGAGGAGGAGGAGGACAAGGAGGAAACGGAAGAGGAGGAGGAGGAGGAGGAAGAGGATAATGAGGAGGAAAAGGAGGAGGACGAGGAGGAGGAGAGGAGGAGGAGGGAGGGAGAGGAGCAGGGGAGGAGTTCATGAGGAGGAGAAGGAGGAGACGAGGAGGGGAGGAGGAGCGGGAGGAGGAGGAGGAAGAGGACGAGGAGGAGGAGGATGAGGAGGAGGAAGATGAGGACGGACAAAAAAGTAAGAGAACGACGGGAAGGTAAAGGAGGATAACGATGAGGAGGAGGACGCCGAGGAGCACGATTTGAAGGAGGCAGGGAAGAAAGATGAGGAGGAGGAGGAAGACGGGAAGGAGGAGGAGGGGGACGAGGAGGAGGAGGAGGAGGAGGAGGAGGAGGAGGAGGGGGAGGAGGAGAGGGAAAATGAGGAGGAGGAGGAGGAGGGACAAGTAGAAAGAGGAAGAAGAGGAGGCAGGGAGGAGGAGGAGGAGGTGGAGGAGGAGGAAAAGGAGGAAGAGGATGACGAGGTGGATGAGGGACGAGGAGGAGGAGGAGGAGGAGGAGGAGGAGGACGAAGAAGAAGAGGAGGAAACGGAGGTATGAGGAGGAGGAGAAGGAAGAGGAGGGAGGAGGAAGAGGAGGGAAGAGGAGGAGGAAAGGAGGGAGGAGGAGGAGAAGGAGGAGGAGCAGGAGGAGGAGAGGGAGGACGAGGAAAAAAAAAGAGAGGAGGCAGAGGAGGAGGAAGGAGGAAGGAGGAGGAGGAGGAGAAGGAGAAGGATGAGGAGGAGGGGAACGAGGAGGAGGGAGAAAGAGCGGAAGAAAAAGGAGGCGAGGGAGGACGAGGAAGAGAGGAGAAGAGGAGGGGAGCGAATGAGAAAAAGAGGAAAGAGGACAGAAGAGGACGAGGAACAGGCAGAGGAGGAGGAAGAGGAGGACGAGGAGCGGAGGAGGAGGAGGAGGAGGAGCAGGAGGAGGCGGAAAAGGGGGAATACGAGGAGGAGGAGGAGGAGGAGGAGGAGGAGGAGGAGAAGGAGAGGAGGAGGAGGAAAAGGAGGAGGAGCCGCAGGACGAGCAGGAGGAGGGAGGAAAAAAACAAGGAGGAGGAGGAGGAGGAGGAGGAGGAAGGAAAAGGAGGACAAGGAGTGCGGAGGAGGAGGGGAAGGAATTCGGAGGTGGAGGCGCAGGAGGAGGAGGGGGAAGAGGAGGAAGAGGAGGAAGAGGAGGACGAAGACACGGACGAAGAAACGGAGAAGGAGGAGGGAGAAAAGGAGGAGTGAGAGAAAGAGAGGGGGGAGGATGTGGAGTAGGAGGAGGAGGAGAATGATGATGAGAAGAAGAAAGAGGAAAAGGAGGAGGAGGAGGTAGAGGAGGAGGAGGAGGAGGAGGAGGAGGAGGAGGAGGAGGAGGAGGAGGGGGGAACGATGAAGAGGAGGAGGAGGACGAGGAGGAGGGGAGGAAGAAAAATACTGGGGAGGGGCACAAGGAGGACCGGGAGGAGGAGGCGGAGGAGGACGACGAGGAAAAGGAGGAGGAGGAAGGCAAGGAACAGGAGGAGGAAGAAAAGGACGAGGAAACGGAGGAGGAAGACAAGGAGAAGGAGGAGGGGGAAGAGGACTAGTGGGAAAAAGGGGGGACGATGAGGTGGAGGAGGTGGAGGAGGAGGGGGAGGTGGGGAGGAAAACGATGATGAGGAGCAGGAAAAGGAGGATAAGGAGAAAGAGGAGGAAAAAGGAGGAGGAGGGGGGAGAGGGAAAGGAAGAGGAGGAGGAGGACGAAGAGGAGGAGGAGCAGGAGGAGGAGGACATGGAGGAGGAGGAGGAGGACATGAAGGAGGAGGAGGAGGATAAGCGGTAAGAGGAGAAGGAGGAGGAGAAGGAGGAAGAGGAGGAGGAGAAGAGGAAGAGGAGAAGATGAAGAGGAGGAGGGGGACAGAAGGAGGAGGAGGAAGAAGATGAGGAGGGGGAGGAAGAGGAGGAGGAGGAGGAGGAGAAGGAGAAGGACAAGGAAATCCGCATAAAGGGGGTACAACGTCAGAGCACCGACTCGGGCGATCTACGCGCTGTTGCCAAAATCCCATGCGATTTGTTGCGCTACAGCCCTGCTTTCTCACTGGGGCCGGCAGGGGGCATGCCCCGTAGCGCAAATACCGAGCTCCGAGGTGGCCCCGCGACACAGGCCCGCTACCTTGCATCGCGAGCCCCATCGGGTCAGCGCGGGGGGGAGCAACTGCCTGCCCTTCCGCGCGCCCTACGGGAGGGGGCGCGCGGGCTTAGCAGGGCGCCCGAGCCAACGGGGGAGGAAACGACGACACGACCTCAAAAGGAGGAGAGGGGGGAGAGACGGAAGGCCCGAGGCCCCAAACTGTTGCTGGGGGGCTCAAGCTTACTTCCGTGATCCCCTCTCCCACTCAGCTCGCTTCTCGGTCGTTCCGAAAGATGCTCCATCTGCACTCAGGTACCCTGTGAAGTAGCCCAAGGTTCCCCCTCGGAGTGTGCGAGGCAGAGCATACTGGGAGTCACGGTCATAGGTAGTGCCAGTGAGGAGCACGCTGGTGGGCTTCTTGATGATCATTGTTTCTCCTTCCACGCCCTGCAGTAGTGCACCCGATGGTACTCAAAACATACTTCCCCATGCAATGGCGATGCAGGCGCACTGCTGTACCCATACTGCCTGTCATGAGTTGCTATCCGAAAAACCTGGCTAATGCTCCTCCTGTCTGTCTGTGGGCACGGCCAGCTCGCTCCTTGCCCAGATGAGCACTCCGAGAAACCTCGCCAACGCTTCCTCTTGGCAAATCTGCAGGCTCCAGTGTGTGTGTGTGTGTGTGTGTGTGTGCTCACTGGTGGCCGCTTGAGCTGGCCGCCGTCGTCTCCTCCGACTTGGGGTAGCCGAACTTTTCCGCGAAGATCTCGGCGCCATCCAACATGGCCTGGGTACTGTATTTTAGCTTCTGGCGCTCCATCGGCCTCTTCACTTCCTCTGGGTCCATGGCGTCCTAGTTATTCATCTCCCTGATGGAAGCCTTCATTACTTTGTGGAGGTTCTCTTCGTCATTTTTCGCAATCTTCAGCGCCCGCCCGCACTGGCTCTGCACAGTGATAGCCCTCTTCCCTGACCTCTCCCATGTGTCCACGGGGTACCTTGCGATGAGGTCGCAGCCTTCGATATTGCGCGCCGTCTGGAAGGACAGCGGGGGCGCATCGAACAGCCCCTGTGGGCTCATCTTCTCGGCAGCGCCGACTAACTCGCAATGGCACTCCTTGATGGTGTCGTCGAATTGCTGAGGAGGGGGGGGGGGAGGGGGACGAGGAGGAGGAGGAGGAGAAGAGGAAAAGGAGGGAAGGGGGAAGAGGGGAGGGGGGGGAGGCGGAGGGGGGGGAGGAGGAGGAGGAGGAGGAGGAGGAGGAGGAGCACGAAGAAGATGAGAAGGAAGAGAAGGAGGCGGAGAAGGAGGAGGGGGCTGATGATGACGCTGGTGATGATTATGAAGATGGTACTGCTGCTGATGTTGATGATGCCGATGCGGATGACGATTGAGGGCGCGCCGCTGGATGTCCCCAAAGCAGGGGGGGGAAACCCCATCCCCCCCCCCCTTTCCCCGATCCGTCGTCGGGGACCCCCCCCCCTCCTCCCACCACTTTCCCGATCCGTCGTCGGGGACCCCCCCCCTCCCCTTTCCCGGTCGACGTCGGGAACGCCCTCCCCCCCCCCCCCCTGTAAAAGGGGGGGGGGGGGTCCGAACCCGCCCCCCTCCCTCCCTTTGGCCGCCAAATTCCCCCCCCCCCTCCCCACCTTTCGCCGCGGCGCCCCCAGTCTCCGGGACCCGACCCCTACCACCCCTAACACTAATCCTCACCCTTACC